CGTGATCTGCGATGATGGCTGGTGGAGCTGAGATATCGGCAGGATTCGTGAAGACGCAAAGAACAGGAAAGAAATCAGACGGGGTGATACCCCCACATCGTTTCTCGCTTTAACGGGATGAGTAAAAAAAGGGGAGTTCGAGTCATTTTTTTCGACCCCTGCAGTACTGCACATGTGTTATGAGTTCACTTGCCTGAGTTTTGTTTTTTTGAGGCAAAATGCAAAGCTACACACCCCATTAAATTCAAAGAGTAAGGGTACTGACGTCGTACGTGTGGAGCGACACACATGTTTTATTGTTGCTTTCCCCCCACAGGGCAATATTTCATTTTGACCTGATTGGTAAGTTGCCCTTTTTTGCTGCCGTTTGTACGCCATTTTTGTGTTTTTTGTATATTTTTGGGGGGGCTTGCGGCGCCCACACAATTGCGGCTGTGCTGCTGCGTGCCGAATCGTTTTGGGGTGGTGAAGCGAAGATGTGCCCATGCTAACGTTGGTTGAGTGCCATATGCGTAATTAGATAAAGTAAATGATTCTCAGGAGAGGAAAAGGCCAGGTTACCCACTTTGTTTCTCTTGTACTCCTCGACACTTTGGAGAGCTTCTCTCATTTGTTCATTTCTTTATCATCGAGTAACTTATTATTGTTGTTTTTCCCGTATTCGCCCCTGTTTCTGTGTGAGGGAGGGGTGGTCTTGTATGAATCCATGAAACCCAATAAGGTCAACTCACTTCCGTGCTTCATCTCACCGTTTTTCAAATAAAGAGAGCCAATAAGGAAAGCACAACCGCAGTGACATCAGTAACACACAGACAAATGAAAAGAGGGTACAGGTCGCTATTGACACCACTGAGGGCGATCACGTTATTGGGCAATGAGGTGCGGCCTCCATGCGTATCAAGCACAGAGATGCGCAGACAGAAAGAAAAACAATGCCATAATTGGGGGACAGTACATCTGCCCGTACATTTCACATTGGGTGGTGTGTTCAAGCCCACCCTTGTTGCGATGGCGCCGCGTATTGTGGCTGGCGGCACTACAGGCGATAAAGCTCTGAGCGACGCGGCTGCTACCAAATCGGTGAAATGGACCCTCGACAGCACAGTGGAGGAAGTTCTGCTACAAGGAAATCTTCCTCCAGTGCATATGAAGCTGAAAGACTTTCTTACCGAATACCTTGATGGCATGGGTGCGGATGAAGTGAAGTGGAATGTCAGTATAGAAGCGTTTGCCAACAGACCAAACAGATATATAAAAGACGAGGAGCTGGTTACCGACATACTTGCGATGCCGTCATTCAAGGCAATAGTAGAGGAAATGAAAAATAGGGAAGCTGTACGCAAACTCAAAGAGACTGGTGTGTATTCTCTCCAGCAGTGGGACGTGTATGATAAAAAGGA